GTTTTTGCCATGTGGTTGTATAACCACTGATCTCATAAAAGGTAAGACTGGTTTGTTTAACTCTTTGTATTATTGTTTTACTGCCTTTCAGAAAATCCCCCCAAATTCTAGTACAGACTCAAGTTGTAGACTCAAGGACAGCCTGCAATATTTCTACTGGTAAAATTTTAGTTCATTTTCCTTATGACTTTTTCTAGTGATTTTTTTTTTCTCTTCCGTTTGAAATTGTGGAGCAGTCAGTGTTGACTATGGGCATCTGGAATAGACGGCGGGGGAACCAGGGCGATACTGAAAGCAGGCATGCAACGTTAGGATCATTTGCAAGGAGTTAGTTCCGAGTTTCTACCAAATGAATAGGCAGATCGCAGGGAATTAATATTCTCAAGAAGGAGTTAACACTGTCTCTCATTGGCCTTTTTTTCTTCCTTATAAAGGCTCTTGGTTGTCATGAGGTGCCTTATTATCTTAATCAAAAGGCTATCCTTTCAGGTCATGATCCTACTCAGTGAAAGTTTTGGCTAAATCTTAAGTTCCTGCTGAAATTAGAAATGATCAAAGCAGGCAAAATATGTGGTGTTGTGGTAATTTTTTCCTTTCTTTTAAAAAAATACTGAAAGTAAAGAATTGATGCAGATTTTGAGGGAGGAATTCACAAGCTTTCAGTAGCTTCTGGGTAAATCAGTGACTCCAGGAACACGTAGATGTTTGACATAACAAGTGAACACATGGGTTACAAACATCCTGATTTTGGTATTTTAAAAAAATATATGTGTAATTAGAGTTTTGATTCTCCTAGAAAAGTCTCATGTTTATAGCATGAAACCTCTAAAACATGTTCGATTTTATTCGCTTGAGTGTTACTCAAGCTCAACTTTTCCCAGATCAAAATTCTTATAGCTTTATTCCCATCTTTGGTTCCATTTTGCAACTGTTTAATGAGTTTGGGATTCTTTAAACAAAAATTTCCAGTAAGCGAGTTGTAATACTTTTCTTCTTTATTTCAACAAATATTCCTTTATGTAGATTTTCTTTCCTCATGATACATACCAACAAGGTTCTGTACATTTTTCAAGTTTTAATTCATCTATATCACTGTTCTTGTTTCTATTCATCACATCTTTCATCTGTCTCCTCCCAGCACTATTCACTTAACACGCACATCAGTGGTTCTCAACTCCAGCTACACATTAGTCTCACCTGAGAAGCTTTTAAAACATAATAATGCCTGGGCTCCATTCCCAAGACTTTTACTTAATCTGTCTGGGGTGATATCACGGCACAGATAAAATGTTTTAAAGCTCCAAAGGTGATTCTAACGTGCAGCCAAGGTTGAGAACGCCTGCTCTATATAATATTGATCTTATTGTGTTATGATTATTGGTGAAACTTCATCTCCCACTAGAGTTTTCAGCACTTTATGTCAGAGACTATAACTGATTCATATGTGAATTCTAGTGCCTGTGGAATTTGATCTATGGAATGCTTGTATGCCAAGTACTCTGTGGAGCACTCCAGAAGATTCAAATTTCAAGAGAATGTCATCTCTTACTCAAGGAAATCACAAACTGTTATGGAAGTATCAGACACCAGCAAACGTAATACACCATAACTGTGACCTACTAAGGTTATAAGAGAAGTAAAAATAAAATATTAGGACAAAGAGTCAAATCAACTTGAGAAATCAGGAAGACATACTGAAAAGGGTGGAATCTTAGGATGGACAAGTGTGCTGAATTTTGAATAGAATTATGTGTACGGTTTTGAAAGAAAGAAATGGAAAATAGCGGGAAGATGAGAAGAGAAGAATTTGTTGTGCAAGGGAACAGAGGGAGGAAAGGGGAAGATGTGGAAAAGTGTGAAGCCCATTAAGGAAACAGCTCCTATAGCATTTAAGAAGCAACTATAGGAGAAGGTGATGAAAGCAGAAAGTGGGTGGGGGAGATCAAGTCGGCTTTAAATGCCCAGTGGATGAGTGTTGAATCCTTGAAGGTTTCTGAGCAGGGGAGCAATGTACTCAATTTGTGCTTTAAAAAGATAAATCTTCCTAATTAATTATCTTGTAGCTTTTAAAATATGTTTTTATGTGATCTGAATTACATTATATGAATACTATAAGCAAGGCTTTCTTATGCTAAAACCCTTTTCATTATGTGATCAATGTATTCATCAGAAAAGAAATCACTAAGGAACAGACACATAAATTACATCTGTTCTCAGATGACAATTATTTCATTGGCTTAGCTGAGAAGAAAATAAATGAAGGTAAAGTAGTACAATGGCTGTGGTAGTTCCCCTAAAAAATTGGCCTAAAAGACTTGACTATCTTTTTCTGGGGGGGAGGAGGGGGTACCAAAAGAAAGAAGAGGAAAAGAAAATTCCCTTCACTTAAATGTGACTTGCTGCACTGCCAGATGTAAATGTGTAAGTCTAAGTTACTTATTTCATATAGTCATATTTACTTCTTTATTATTGCTTTTGACTGACAAATGCAATATATGTTGCTGAAAAAGCCTGCAGAAAAATAATTTGCATAGTGTGATATCACTTTAGGCATGAAGTCTTGACTCGGGTCAGCTCTTAACTTGACGGACAGGCTGATACGATGCTTATCTGTACATTGCCTCAGCAAGCCTTACTTGTCCCATACCACTACCCTATGGGAAGTACTTTTAAGATCTACATAAAGTTATTTTTTTAATTTTTAAAAAATTTCATTGTATTTTATCAATACAGTCATCAATAAAGCAATGGGATAGATAACACGTATGAAAAACCTAAGGCAAATCAATGTTTAAAACACAGAACACACTTTTCTCTCTTATTTTAAATTTGATCCTAGAGCTGCATGTGTATGTTTATATGTATAAAAATATTCCAGTGAGAAGTGAAGAATTCAGATGTTCACACAGATATTTAAACCTCAAGAAATATCATTCAGAGTCTAACCACACAACTCAACTTTTGTCCTTGCCGGTAGCATATAAACACACACATTACTGTAGGGTTAGTTCCATGTTCCACATGAAGATGCTTTATATGCTCAACTAGATTCTATGTGCCCTGTGGACAGTTTTCAGTCTTCTAATTGTGTTATGCACTTTAAAATTTGATTGAGAAAAACACAGATTAAGTGAATTCTCAAGGTAGAAACTTCTAGTTCCAGACAAGATGGAGTAAACACAATCTATTTTATTTCTCTCGCTAATCCCTAAAAAAGCACCCTAGACAAAACATATAAGTCATTTATCAGAAGGCTCTAAGAGGTGGAGAAAAGAAGGCAGATTGGCTAGGAGCCTCAGGACTTAAGGAATGACATGACAGTGAGTTCCACGGGTTTTTTTCTTATCTCTATATATCCCAACTTGGGTGCTAGAGAAGCCCTCAATGCAGCAAAATGCCAACTAAAAATAGTATCCAAGAAAAGCCGAAGGACTAGTAAAAGTGTGGCCCAACAGAACAGAAACTTTTAACCATACCTGCCTGTTCTGGTGTGAAACTCACAAAAATAGCAGTGCCCCTCCCCTACTCAAAGGATGGTACAGCAGGAGGCCAGTGAGAAACATCCCTCCCCAGTAGAGACTATGGGCAGAAACCTGTATTCCACTCCCATTACCATTTCAATAGAGACAGCATCCCTTTCCCCAAGAGGGTCTGGGATTGAAATGACTTCCAACCTCCATGAATTAAATAGGAGGTGCCCCTCCCCTCAGAGTCCCTGGTTGGAACTCTGACTTCCATTGCCTGTTGCAATAATAAGGCAACAGAACTGCTTTCTGCAGCAGAAGGGTTTGTGGGAAGGGTGTGACTATTAAGGGATAACCTGAGGCAGTTTCTTTGTGGTAATGATCAGTTCTTTATGATGATTATGGTGATGGTTACTCTGCTCTACACCTGTGATATAATTTCACAGAACTATATACCCTCCCCACCAAAAAACACAAAAAAAATAAAAACAAAAAGCTGGAGAAATCTGAATAAGGACCATAGCTGAGTTAATAGTATTGTACCAAAGTTAAATTCTTTAAAAGAAACAAGAAACATATACATGTATTATTAGCTTATATATTTATATAATAGTATATCAGTTATTCAATTCTAACTTACTTTTCCCAATTTCTTCCTGAACATCTGAACACTGAGTAACAAATGTGTTATGTGATGAATGTGATAAAGCTTGAAAAAAAAGGTTCTGGTTTTGCCACTCAGATCGATTTCTAACACCATTACTAAACCAACGATGACTAAAGAATAACTATTTTCCCCTAACTTTCAAAATGCAGGTTCTTAATACAAGAGGAATAGCTACTTGAAAAGAAAAATAAAGTCACCCTTCACACCTGGATAACACTCTTCATGGTTTACGTGAGTGTAATCACAGCCAGAGGATATTACAGGATAAACTCAATTGGTTGGTACATGGGAGATAAACTACTGATGCAATATCTTAAGGTAGCTAAAAACAAACAAAAAAAGAAATTGAGAAAGTATATTAAAACTATAAATAACAGTGATAATACTTTGGTTTTCGCATCATGCCTTTTCCCTGAGGAATAGAAAGTTCTCTCTTTTAATATCATCACCTAACTCATAGAGTTCTGTATTGATGTCTCTTTTTCAAATGGCACAATTAAATGGCAGAGCATTTATGTGCCTTGCCTCACTCCACAGTGGAAATCACTCGTAGGGTCAAAGTCATAAATTAGGACTCACGCTCTCCATCAAGCGTCTTCAGCTTCACAGTTCAATTACACTATGTTTTCAGCTAAATCCCTGTCTGAACACCATTTCATTGCATGAGCAATAGTTGGTAGTAGAATACTATCTATTTTTTAGTAGCATGGCTTCCCCCCAAATTTTCTGCCAGCAAAGTACTACTCTATAAGCAACACACTCAGGCATTTCCTTTATTCTAATTTAATTTCTGCTCAAGTATTTTTTGGAAATTCAAAAACTTTAAGTTACTGAATGAGTTAGAGATGCAAAGAACTATTCATTGTGATAGATCAAGCTTCTTTATGCTAACCTCGTATACAAACTTCCCCAAAGGGAAGATAATATCATTAATGCATCCTGTCATCACTTACTTTCTCCTTTCCGTTTCAAATCTATGGAGCAGTTTCCGAAGACCACCATTCTTAAATCCCTGAAAATGGGCAGCTGGGGCTCCCACAGTGATGACATCGTAGAGAGCATCTGGAACAGGAACGGACAAGGAGATGAACACTTTGCAAACATTTCTCTCCAGCATGCTGTTTGCATTGAAGCATACACACTGTGGGAAGTTAGAGAAATTATTCTGTTTAATTTTGCAGGAATAACTACGAACGTGCCTCTCAAGGGGGCAAGAGAAGCTAATCAATCTTTCTAAAAGCCACCTGTGCACCTAAACAAGTTATAATATTTCCTTGATTTATGACTACATCTTAATTATATGCTACTGTGTAGAACAGTATGTTTTCTCATTCTTCTATATACTTACTGAGATAACATGTTAATTGGTCTTTTGTGTATTTTACTTTATTGAGTTTTGCATCATTTAATTTGCAATCAGATTGAAATTCAACAATAATGAACAATCTTTCAACCAAAATTTACAAAGAAATGAACCAAAATACTAATTCATTTTGGCTCAAGGGTAGAACAGTACTAGTGCAGTTTTAAAAACCTATATAGAATAGTTTTCTGTCTTTGTATACTAAATCTTACACAATTTTGAATGCATGCTTTTGCAGTTTCCTTAGGTGACATAGAAAGAATACACAAAATGTCTCTCGATCTATTTTTCCAGCGAGATACTTTGTTTATTTAATAAAAAATCCATACATTTAAATTGAAACCCAATCCTTTGCTCTTGAAAGCCATCAAGTTTGATATATATTAAGTTCATGCCTTCAAAACATGCCGTCATTTTTACATTCTAATGAAAGCATCCCCATAAGAAGGAAGCAGAGTGAATGGCCTCTTGTTAAACTACATTTTATTTGAGAAACCTAATTTCATAGTAGATCCTTTCCAAATTGATTTTGGTATTGACACATTGGTTGTTTTTCAGATCTCATTTATAGGGAAAATATAAATTATTTTATTAGTTTCAGGTAAACACCATAACTTCTTCATAATGGTTCAATCCAAATGCACCCAAAATATTTTTCTTAACAAAAAAATGTCTTCTAGTGAAAGACTTCAGCAGCACTCCAAGTCACAAAAAAACAGACTACAACCCAAACCAACCCATCAATAAGGCAGATACTGAACCATCACTTAATAGATTGTTGGAGTGGTAATCTCCTGCCCCCCTGCTTTTTTTGTGTGTGTGAGGAAGATTGGCCCTGAGCTAGCATCTGCCAATCTTCCTCTTTTTGCTGAGGAAGACTCGCCCTGGGCTAACATCCATGCCCATCTTCCTCCACTTTATATGGGACGCCGCCACAGCATGGCTTGCCAAGCGGTGCGTGGTGCACGCCCGGGGTTCTGAACCGGCGGACCCCGGGCTGCCGCAGCAGAGCGCGTGCACTTAACTGCTGCGTCACCGGGCCGGCTCTCCTGCCCTTTTAAAAAGTCACTAATAAACTAGAAGTCGACCTTTCTTAAAATAGCAGAATATTAGACTGTGTCAAATTTAAAGATTTCTTAGTCTAGAGGATTTTAACCTAGGGCTAAGAAAAGGGTTTCAGGATGTCCACAAATGTATGCAAATTATCTCACTGCAACTGTTCTACTTCATGGAAAGGGGTCTCAGCTTTTTCCAACAGTCATGAGATCACCCCAAAGTCACCAACAACTATCCAATTCCAGTCCACCTTCATATTTTGGAAAGAAACCTGAGCACCTTGGGAAGTTACCTGCTTTGTCTAAAGTCCCAGAGACCTTACACCCAGCATCTTCTGACTTCTCGCCCAGGGGTGGAGAGCCAGTGGTTTACGTTACTGACTAGAACTCGAGTTCCGGGTTCCGGATTCCAGCTCTGCCACTTCTAAGTTGTGTGGCATTGGGAAAATTACTTAACCTCTCTAGTCTCAGTTTCCTCAGCTAGAAAATGCAGTTGACAGTAGTTAAAAGTGATAAGCATTTAGTAAGTATTATCTATGATTATTTTCCCTACAAGAAGTAATCTTACCAATTAAGCAAAGAAAGGTGATATTTTAACTTTTGCTCTTTTCTCCATAAAAATGAATTTTTCAGTCTGAAAAGGAAAGTGATACTGAGGCTCAGTTTTCTGACTATAATCAGTTCCTGTGTTAATTTAAACTAAATGCAAAGAGAAAAATCATGCTACTGCTACAATGAAATACATTGCGTTTCTGCTAAAACCTGGGTGACCAGCAATACCAACAATATACAGAAGTGACTAACAACTGTATACATATGTCCCACTAAGCCCAAACTAAATGCATTCCTAACTCAATTTCCAAAAAAAAAAAAAAAAAAAAAATTGCCTGTAGACTCTCGCTGGATCCAAAAAAGGCTGTGGCATCTCCAACACCAACCAACACCTCTTTCCCCAAGAGGGAAAGAATGAGGGAAGGGGAAATCTGAGTGGAAGGAGGGAGCAGTCTTAATCAATGGAGGTTAAAATAGCCTACTTTTGCAAAATTTGCAAATTTTGGGGTTTTAAACATTTGATCACAAACATGTTGCTAGGACCCCTGGTAGGGTCTTGTAAGAGGCCCATGCCCATGAAGGGCCCTGAACTTAAGCGTTATTAGCTTCAGGGTGCATCTGTCTCTTCAATTCATCCATAGTTTCAGCATTTTCCGAAGCTACTTTCTAGGAACAGAAACTTGCTCTTTATTCATCCACCTTCCTGCTGTTGGGAATTCTAGTCATCTATGAAGGAATGAAGAGATTTAAAGCAGCAGGCAAAGGAAGAGAAGCAAGTTGCTCAAATACTCTCCACTCCTCATAATAAAGAACTGATTGTTTTCAAATCTAAATGAAGGAGTTTGTGTTTCCTGAATCCATCTATAGTTATGAACAAGCTCTTTCATTTCCAAGGTTCTGACTTTTACTTATTTCCATTCAGTTTTCTACCTATGAACTCATTACTTTTGGGGTTTTAACACTATTTTTACTGAAGCCTACAAAACCTCCCTCTCTGGCTAGTTCTGACCTCCTATACACTAAATAATCCAATTCCTAACTGCCTTATGAACACCTCTGAATGTCAACTAGCTACTAAGCTTCACTTGTTCTAACTCTTTAAATCTGCTCTTCCTCTCTGGTTCCCTGTGATGAATAAAGACATCACATTCCTTTAAGCCTTCCAGAGTAAAATTCTCAAGATCTCAAGATCATTTTCAATTCTTCTCTCTCTGTCAACATTTTATCTGATCCATTTTAACAACTCCGCAACCAAAATTTTATTCTCTCCTATCAATGTTAACTATCTTTACCTTAATACTAACTTTCTCAATTTTTGTCAGGATTACTACTCCTTTTTCAATCTTAGCCTCCCTGAATCCACAGTGCAGTAGATTGCTTCTCCTATACGGGTGGCCATTCAGTCACTCTGCCCAAAACACAGGCTTCGATGCTTATATACCTCCTCACATATTTCAAATATTAATAGAAGAACATTTCAAATGTCTCAACATAATGCATGATATAATAGGTGCTCAATAAATGTCAATAAATAAATAAACAAATATTTTGAGGCTCAATTCAGTTCACCTTCTTTGTCTCTAGATCATACAGGGAATTACTAATCTTTTTTTGTGTGTGTGAGGAAGATCAGCCCTAAACTAACATCCGATCTTCCTCTTTTTTGCTGAGGAAGATTGGCCCTGGGCTAACACCTGCCCCCATCTTCTTCTACTCTATATGGGATGCCACCACAGCATGGCTTGACAAGTGGTACCTCAGTGCGCACCCGGGTTCCGAACCTGAGAACCCTGGGCCCCCAAAGTGGAGCGTGCGCACTGAACTGCTGCACCACTGGGCCGGCCTCAGGGGAATTACTAATCTTAATTGAAGAGTAAAAAGTTTAGATACACTATCCAAAAAAAAAAATTGGAATCTGGAATATACCTATCTCCAGGGGATGGGGATGAATATATATCCATCCATGGATCGTATTCTATAAAATAAGAAAGAAAGCTTATGATTATCCACACGCATAAGAATGAAATTAGACCCTTATCTTACAGCCTGCACAAAAATCAACTCAAAATGGATTAAAGGTTTAAACATAAGACCTAAAGCTATAAAATTTCTAGAAAAAAAGACAGAAGAAATGTTTCATGATATTGATCTTAACAATGATTTCATGAATACAACAGTAAAACCACAAGCAACAAAACTAAAAATAAACAAGTGGGACACATCAAAATAAAAATCTTCTGCACAGATAAGAAAACAATAGAGTCAAAAGGCAACATACAGAATAGGAGAAAATATTTGCAAATCATATGTCTGATGAGAGGTTAATTTCCAAAATATGTAAGGAACTTCTATGATTCAATAGTGAAAAAAATTAATAACCTGATTAAAAAACGGGCTAAAGATTTGAATAGACATTTCACCAAAGAAGTCACATAAATGGCCAACAGATTTATGAAAAAATGCTAAATGTCATTTATTATCATGAAGATACAAATCAAAACCATAATGAGATATTATCTCACACCTGTAAAAATAGCTATTATCAAAAAAACAAAAGACAACGAGTGTTGGCCATGATGTTGAGAAATTGGAACTCTTGCACACTGCTGATGAGAATGCAAAATGGTGCAGTCGCTATGAAAAATAGTTCTCAGGTTCCCTTTATGTTAATATCCTACATAGCCATAGATTATCAAAACTAAGAAATTAATTTCATACTATACCATTAAAGAAAGTAACTAATGTATTTGGACTGGTTTTTCCACTAACACCCTTTACTCTTTTAGGATCCATCCAGGATTCCACATTTCCATTTAGTTGTCATATAGTCTCCTCCAATTTGTGACAGTTACTCAGTCTTTCACTTTTGACTTTGACACTTTTGAAGAGTACTGGTCAGTTATTTTGCAGAATGTTCCTCAGTTTGCGTTTGTCGTATGTTTTCTCGTAATTAGATTGAGATTCTGCACTATTGAGAAGGAAACCATGGAGGCAACACACCCTTCTCAGTGCATCCTATCAGGGAGTATGTTAAGTTGATCATATTACTTGATGTGAACCTTGATGCATTGGTCAAGGTGATGTCCGCCACT